TAACTGGATCAGCTATTCAAAAAATACAACAGAATCTAACAACTAAGAAAATAAAGTCCACTCTCTGGCTCCTCCCCCAAAGGTTCCAGTGGGCAGGTCTACGTCAGGCCCCAACAACTCAAATTTTAACCAATACCTCTGGTTACCTGCCCTCCCTACTATATTCCCCAGTGGTCTCTGGACTACATTTTTGAGAACATAAATCTGTATCTTCCTAACACTCACAATCCCTATCCCAGGCCTCAGTTTTCAGAAGTTACATACAAGCCTAAATCAGCAAGGGCGTACCCTGCTCATCTGGGCCTAAACTTCTCACAGAAACTTGCAATCTGCAGGACACATTCATTCATTCAGTGCCTGTGAGCACAGGAACACAAGGGCTTGGCCACCCCAAGCCAAGCAGCAAGAGGGGAAGGCGTCCGAGTATGTTGCCCCTTCCAGCAAAGCTTCCTCCCTGAGCTGCTGCTGCTTGCGTAGCATTACTGGGAGGGAAATGGCCTAAACACAAAGAAGAAAAGAGGATGGAAAAAGTGACATACTACAGAGGGCTTCCTCAAACCAATGATTAGCTGTAAAGCTCTTGCGCCAGCTCCACTAAAGCGCCAGGGGGCTCGGCCCAGCCAAATGTGCAGTGGGCAAATGAACTCAGAGAACCCCGGGACAGGACTCTAATCCGACCACTATGACAGGACATCCATACCTTCTAGAAAAAGCACCAGGCAGATGGGGGCCAGAGCAAGAAGATGGGCAGGCCAGCGGCTTGAGGGTAAGGCTAGAGCCAGTGCCAGCAACCATGGCCCAAGCCTGTAACCCTGCCACGTGGCGCAGCCAGGGGTATCTCAGGGCACAGCAGCAGTGAGGTTAGGGAGAGCAGAGGGAAGCTGAGGGACACAGGCCAAGGACACCCAACCCTATTTAATGACCCTTTCTTCCATCAGGAAAACACCAATGCGCATTCCCAAACTGCCCTTGGCTCAAACATGAGCTCTGACCTGGCCACTCTCCATCCCAGATGAGTCTCACAAAACTGCACTGGCTTAAACACAAACTCAAACAGACCCCGTCACTCCAAAACATGAAATCATTCAAGGGCTAACACCACGACTGCTAAAGCCCAGCGGGACATGCCTTCCTTTATGAACCAACGGGATTCCTGAAAAGCAGTCCATCCACCAGATTTCTCCTAGCAAGTCCAAGTTCCTCGCTGGCTTTCATTACAAAATGAGACATCCGTTCCACTAGGAAAAGCGGGCACTCCAGAAAGGACTGAACATCACATTGAATGTTGCAAACTTTCTAGTCACATATTTAATGGACAAGTTCCTTGACAAAGTCGAACTCAATTCAAGCTAAAGTGAGGTGATTTTTAAGTGCAAACATCACACCAAAAGTGTTCACACGAAATGAAAGTTATTTAAAGCAAGTCTTCTCACACTGTAAGACACAGGACTCCCAACTTGCACTGTCCTAACAGGAAAGCACTGTACCTTTAGTTTACAAAGGAGGATGCCTAGACTGACTCTGGAATTGGGGGGTACGGTCACTTGGGACCTTGTTAAAAGGCAGACTCATTTTGACTCATGCTCCTAGAGGGTACTGATGCCACCTGGCTGGCCGCTACATAGTTCATGGTTTTTAAGCCTTTTGTGGCAGGTCAGCTTCATACACAGAGATGACTGCCCACACCCAGAAGTCTCAGAGAATGCCAGAAGCCCTGGCACATCAAAACTCAGAAAATCACCACAGTGAACAGACAGCTGGGGAACAGAGGCCTGGGTCAAGGTAGAGCAGGCACAGGAGGATCAGAAGGCATTCCCACCCGAAAGACATTGGAAGGAGCACAAAAGACCCCCAATGCCTGCGAAGCAAAGGGATGTTGACCTTTGCCCTGATTGTTCTGCCCTATACCCAAAAGGTCCACTTACCTTTACAAAAAACCTAGGTAAGGGACCATTACAATTAAAACACTGTAGGGAATTCAGTAAATGAATTTAATTCAGTAAATTAAAACCCAACTGGGGCAAAAATATGGAGGGTGTCCCAAGAATGAGAGTTCCAAAGTTCGACAAGCACCCACTTTCTGGCAAGAGACACAGGACAGTTTTGGGGAGGAGATGGAGGTAAGAATGGCAGAAGAGAGATGGAGAGGCACTACACACCAGGGAACTGGCCAGAGGGGAAAAAAAGGTCTGAGAAACCACAGATGTTGTAGGGGGCAGTAAACAGACTAGTTGGGCTGGAATGGAAGGTTCCAGTAGGTAGAAGTGTTTAGTGTTGGGGTTGATTGGAAAGCTGGAAAGGTAAGTTGGAAGAACACCACGGGAGAGAGAAGAACAAGAAAGGGGCCCTTTATATATTGCTTTACATTTAATCCTCAGCACAGCTCCAGAGGTAAATCCCCTTACAGAGGAGGCAAACTGTGAGGTCAAGAAATTTGCCCAGGGCCACAGGCCTGTCAAGAGTTAGAGCCGTTGTTCTGCCACTGCACCTCCTGGGTCTGAACTCTGCACCACTCCACTCTGCTCTGAGCACCAGGCTGACTCCATCTCTTTGGCAAGTGATTTGCTCTCCTACCATACTTGCCAACATCTGAGGAAAGTCATCGCTGATAAAAGCAACTCCTAGATCTGAATTACAGGCGGCAGAGCCTTGAGGAATCTGCAGGACAGCCGTCTCAGAATGTGACAACTCAATTTCCCAGAGAAACAAGAGCCTGGAGGAAGGAAACCCGGGAGGGGGATGGGAACAGTGATAGGCAGTGACACAACTGGCCATCCAAGCAGTCGGTCGGTGGGGCGAAGAATGCCAGGTTTCAAACATCAAGCTCTCTCCTCCACCGTATTTATCACAACAGGGATCTCAAAGCTTGGGAAGTTACTCAGTCATTTACAGCATAATTACCCAAACTTCAAAATGGTCTAATCCACATACCCAGCCAGCCTAGGTCCCTCACTCCAGCCTTATTAACAGCAGGGTCTCACTACAACTCCAGTTAATTACACAGTTAAACAATAAGATGGAAAAATCCACTGCAATCTATTAAAAAATCGTTGCCCCCTGAAGTCATGTCGTCCGGGGGTGGGTTGAGTCCTTGGATTTCACTGAAGACAGCAGGCGCCTTAGCCTGGGCTCAAATTGTTTACAGCACATGGACAGGTTCCACACCAAGGCACATTTGGTGGAACTGATTTAAGGCTCTCATTAAAATGTTCCTTTGTTGAGCACAAGACATCTCCCCACCCCCAAAGGAGATTCCAGACCTCCAGTCCCCAGCCCTCAGCCTGCCCTAACTTCCCCCCCACAGGAGCCCCCCTTTCGCTAAACACCCGTCACCGGATTAACATCGATTAACATCAGAGTCGTCTTCTCACGGAAAGAATTTAGGAATTTAGCATTTGTTGAACAAGAGCCTGTCTCCACCAAAATCTCCCTTGACTCCAGAACTCTAAACATGAGCAGTGATGGCAGCGGATCAGGCAGCCACACACCAAACCCAAACAGCCCGACGACCTAGGAAGCCTGTGAGCTCAGGCTGCTCGCCCATATGGCTGGGCGCCCCCCCCCCCATCCTGGCTCCACAGAAAAACTTCCATACTTCCTCTGGGAGCAGATGTGGATTCTGCCATGAGCCATAACCACCCCACACATCACAAGGAACACAGGGCAGCTCCAGAAACACCACCCACAAATACCAGCAGCCTGTGCTTACCTCTCTTGGTCCTGGGTTACAATTACCTCTCTCCATTTCCAACTAGGGGTGGAAGAGATGTTGATTTCATCAGCCCTAAAACCCCTCGACAACTGGCAGGCTAGGGAGATACTGGAAAAGGCAATTCTCTACCGCCTCCCGCCCCAAGGTCATTCTTCAAAGATGGGGGGGAAATGACTGGTAGACCAGGTATCCTGGGCGAGCCACCCCAGAGAGGGCTGTTGCAAGGATCATCACCAAAGATGTGTTGTTTTGGAAGGTGGCGGCTTATTTCCAGTCCAGGTTGCTTGGGGTGTGCGGGTAGATGGGTGCTTTACTGTAAGGCGCCTCACCACCTCAGGGGTGACTCTCAGGTGTGACCAAGCTAGGAAACAAGGGGCAGGGGGAGTGGATCCTGTCTGCCCTAGGGATGAGGGCCACACCCCATCAAAATGTTGAAGCCCTCCCAAGAAAAGAGAGAATGAATTCTCTCCTGCCTTTCTGCCCGTTGAAAAAGATTGTCTTTACTCAAAGAGGAGAGACAGGATGGGAATCCAGGAAGAGCAGAACAAATCCCGTCCGCACCTTTGCAGGCCGGCCATGCCCGATTTTGGCAGCGGCCTTCACACGTTAGTCACCGCGACAGCCCGGGACTCTCCACTCCCCGAATTCGACCCAGGCTGGGAGTGGGCTCAGGGTGCGGGCCCAGGATACGGCGGAGATGGTGGGCCCCGAATTCTCCCCTTCGCCTTTCCTAACCAGCAGGGCCATAAGGGGTCCCCAGCTGGGCCCGGGAACTTGGCGGAGGGGAGCCGGGAGCGTCGGGCCCGCGTAGGTAACAAAGCTCTGCGCTCCGCGCGCCGCAGGTCGGTCCCGCATCCGGCCCCGGGCGGGCCTCCCTCACCTGGGCTGCGTCTGCCGGAGGGACTCCGTCTCCCCCTCCGCCGGCCACCTAATTGCACCCCCCAAGTAGGTGGAGGGGGCAGTCTTTTTCTCTCCCGAGGAGAAACTCCCCACCAGGGCCCGAGAGCTGGCAACTCCCGGCAGCTCACGAATAAACTCTCCGCTCAGGCCGGGAAAACTCTGTGGAGACTGGAAACGCTTCCCGGAGAGGGGACGCGACTCATTCCTCGGCGGTTTCGCCAGCCTCTGGGCCCCCCAGGCTCCCTGCGCCCCTCCGCCGGGAACCTCTCCACCTCTCCAGGGTGTCTTCCCGGCTCCAGCCGCCAAACCCACCTCCCCGGGCGCCCCCTTTTGCCCGCGGGGCTCCCGCGCTTCCCGAGTCGCGCTCCCCCGGCTCGCCGGGACTCACCGCCCAGCAGCGGCAGCAGCAGGACGCTGAGCAGAGGCAGCCGGCGGGGGCTGATCGGGGCTCCCCGCGCAGCTCCCATCGCAGCGGGCTCGGGGAGAGGCGCGGGCGGGCGCGGAGTGCGCTCCGTGGCGGGCCCAGGAGGCCGAGCGCACCGGAGCGCGGGCGCCGCCGCAGCAGCCGCAGCCGGAGCCCGAGCCCGAGGCGTCCCGAGCCGGAGCCGCGCGCGCCCGGTACCTCCGAGTCCTCGCGCGCTGCCGCCGCAGCCAAGCCCCGCCCACGACGCCCCCTCCCCGCCGGCCGCGGCGCAGCGCCCCGCCCCTTCGACGCCCCCTCCCCGCCGGGGCGGGGAGGAGCTCGCGGTTGGGGGAGGGGTCTGGGAGTGGATGGTGGACTGGAGAGAGGCCCCGGGGAGTGTGGGAGACCTGAGCGAGGCAGCGGCGCGTCGGCCGTGCGTTTGTAGCCTAGCGTGCGGAGACGCAGGGAAGCCAAGTGACCTTTGTGATTCCGTGGCCCCTGGGAGGGGACGGTCAGTTCTGGGGGCTCCTCCCTGGGGGATGCAACCAAGTTCTTCGAGTGGTGTCTGGCTCACTTCTCAGCAACCCGTAATGCTGACTGACCTGAAACTGAGGGTGTCCCTGGTGTCCCCAGACCAAGGTACCTGGAGATACTGTGGAGCCCCAGGAGAGACGTGGTCTGAAGAAGTCAGGGGCCAGTGCATGGCTGGGGTCTGGTTTGGCTCTGGACCAATGTGAACCCAAAGGTAGAAACAAATTGGATTCTGCAGCCCGGCTAAAGGCTGTTAAACTGACAAATTCATCCCAAGTCCATCTCCAGGCAGTCTGGGCTGTGTCAGGGCTTGGCCAAGTCTCCAGCTGTGGGGAGGCCCAGCACAGCCCTTGTTCCAGGCACCCCCACCCCCAGCGCCACCACCCCCACATTCTTTCTTTGTTGTGAAAGCAGCAAGGGGTGTAGGAGGCGGGTCAGGAGGAGTCAAGCTTTAGAAGATGGGCCCCAGCTGCTGCTCAGGCCTCAGGATATGCAGAGAAGGGATGGATAGTGTCTCGTCCCCCTCTGACTGTGGAGGGCCCCCCAGGCCTGCTTAGACCTCCCTTCCCCCACACAGCTGGGAAGAGGAGGGGCAACCACAGAGGGCCTCACAGGCTGGGAGCAGTGGCGCCAGGACTCCAGGGTCCTGCCACATGGCCACCACATGTCCCTGACAACCCAGTCCACAGTACCTTCTCCTTGGGTTGTGGGCCTCCTCCCCCCATCCCCCAGATGCCTTCCTGCAGGCCCTGCTGGAGAGGACACAAACGGGAAGGAAGAGAGGAGAGACCCAAGAATCAACATTCCTCCCGTTGCCCCATCCATCACCGTTCCTCGTCCTTCTGTGAAGGGCCCCACACAACTTCCTACCCTCTTCAAACAGGACTCAAGTGACAGAATAGTTACCTGATCTTTTATTTAAGAAAAGTGAAATACATGGACCTGAAGTGAGGCAGCAGAGGGAACAAGAGGCCAGGGCAAGGCAGCGTGGCTAGCCCCAAACCCTCTGACAGAAAAGCCAGAACAGGCTACATTTCTGAGGAGCATACCTGCTTCTTGCCCACCTTGGGGGCCTCTGAGATAGCTACTCTAGAGGACCAAAAGGGTGGGAAAAGGGTGTCCTGAGGGTCCTTCTGGAAGAAAATTCCTGAGGAGGGAGCCAAGACCCTAAGGGCAGCAGCAATCTTCTGGTTAACTGCTCCCCCTTCACTGCTCTCCCTTCTTGGGGTTGGAAGAGCCAGGAGCAATAGGGAATGCTGTGAGGGCTGCTGGGCAGCCCAGCAGACCTGGGGAGGGTGTTGAATGTCAGCTGCTTGAAGAGAGGTTCATAGTGCTGGCACTGAGGCCCCGGGAGGCCTGAAACAGAAAACATCACCCCATCAGTCCAGGAACTCACCCTCCCAAAAACTGTGGCCTGGAATGGAGCCAGCTCGTGGCTGCAGTCTACCCCTGAGCCTAGGAGCGAGCCTGTAATCTCAACAAACTCTAGGGCTTTGTTTAGCCTTTGCTAGGATTTTCTAGAAGGCCACAATCTGGTAGAGAAAATAACCTGGAAGAGCCACATGAATATTGGCAAATACTTTGAATATGTTGATATAAGTAGCCATTTCACATTAAGATGTCATCACTGTTTCCTTAAATGGAGATGATTTAATATTTTACCCCTTCAAATCTGAGTCCCCAGAGTGAAGAATATAGTGACTGCATGAGGAAGAGCAATTAGTATCCCCCAAATCATTCTTGAATTATTCATAACTGCAAAGCACCAGTTTAGAGAACATCAATGTCTATCCCCCTCCTGATGAATTTATTGGTGCTCTTTCTGGCCTGAAACTGTCCCTTGGTGATCACTAACCCAACCAGCTGTCTGTCTGATTCCTGTGTGCCTAACTTCAGATCCCTGGCTGGAGTCTTCATCTCAGAGGACTCACCCCTCTTCCTAACTCCCAAGGGGCTTGCTCAGTGGCTACCCCTTCTCACCCACCAACTCACAAGCACTGCTCTCACCTGGAGGGGGGCGGCATCAGGTTGGTTCAGATAGCTTAAGGAGGCTGCCCGCTTCATATTGCTGCTACATCGGAGAAAGAAAAAATTGAGGCCTCATTCTTCCCCTTGAGAGGCTCTAAAGCGGTGAGACTCTAAGGCCCTGCCACAGGAAATCGAATTACTGCCTCCCTACCATTTAACACCACCCCCTACTCACCACACATATTCTCTCTCTCTCTCTCTCTCTCTCTCTCTCACACACACACACACACACACACACACACACACACACAGAGTTACCAACACCTCCTTGGGTATCTTTATCCCTCCCCTGGAGCACCTGCTGTTCCCAAGCCCTCTCTCAATGGTCATTCCTATATTTCTCTCCAAGATACTTTCTCCTCCAGAGATGAGGGGCCAAGAGGAGTTGGCAGCAGGTGCTTATTTGACTGCCTTGCCATATCTCAGTCTTACTGTGTACCTGGAAGACCGAGGCTCTGTTCCCTGGAGCTTCCTCACTAGGAGTTCACTGCTTCTCCGAAACACATCCCGGATCTTGCCCAGAGAGCCACTCCTCTGCAGGGTCCCACTGCCATCCTGGTGGAGAGGGATGGGGAACAGAAGCTAAGGGGAACCCACACAGACTGGCTTCTAAATCTACTCTTGCCATTTCTCCTGCATACATTCCCCCTTCCTCCCAAAGCCTAGTGAGAACAAGAGCCCTGTCAAAAGCTGCTGGCAGAGACACCCCTGAGCAGATGGGCTAACTGAACTTAAGGGGTAGGGGCATGTCTTTGAATCCTACATGGACAAGCTCACAGTCTCTCACCACCAGCAGCAGGAGGGGCAATGATCCGACTTACCCCTGACCACTCCACAGCCACAGAGGCATCTTCACCTCCCTCGAATTTCACGCTGCCCCCAGGGCCCTCCTGGGAGGCTCTTCCACCATCACCCTCCCCAAGCAGCTCTGCCACCTTGGTCTGGCTAATGGGATCAGTGCCCTGGAAGGAAAAGGAAGAAGCTAGGACTTTCCATTACTTAACTGCTCAGAATGGGGCTTCCGAACTTTTTTTCACCATCACCTACAGTACGGAAAATGTTTTTCCTTGTGACGTCCCACAACACACATACTGGACTCACACTCACCTTTTCTATTGGCAGTACAGCCCTGTGTATAGATATATACATACAGTTATATACATGGCCCACAATGGATTGATTTCCCAACCACTAGTTAGTCAAGACCCACAATTTGAGAAACTCTTATTTTAGGGTTCCCCTCAACCTCAAACCCCTCATCCATATCACCCAGCCTCTCCTGAGTGAATTCTTCAAAGGTTGGTGTGAGAAAATTAGCCCAATTTAGGGCCTCCCCGGTGGCACAAAGATTTAAGTCTCAGTACTATGTAGGTGTTGGCAGCCTCTGCAGCCTGAGTTCGCTCTCCATCCAGGCAGCTGACCCACATGGCACAGCAGACCTCTCCTGCCTCATTGGCTGCTCCCCTCAGTGGTGTACCTCAGTTAATCTGCCTATTCTGCTCTCTACCCTGTCTCTGGTGAATCCTCTCACCACCACCACCACCGCGACCCCGCACCTCTGGCCTACACCCAAGCTCGCATATGCATAAATAAATAAAATAAATCTTTAAAAAAATTTACAAAAGAAAATTGGTCCAATTTCATGAAGTGAACTTTGAATTTGGAGTCATGACCACAAAAGGCAGGTGAGGAGTAAGAACATGATTAAAAACAACCACAACCACTAGAGGGCCTCGCCATCCTCTCCCCATCTTTCTCCTCAGCCTCTCCTCTTTTGAACACTCAAAGGAAGCCTTGGTGGTCTTCAACCTCCAAGTGCAGGCCTTCCCGAGGCACCATCTTCCCTCCTGATTGCTGACCTGTTTCCGGGAGCGCAAGGCACATTCCTCCAGGGTCTCCGCTGCCTCCAGCTTTCCCTGGCGTCTGTACAGAGCACCTAGGTTTCTCAGAGTGGTGTTCACTGTGGGACTGTGGGGGGAGAGACCAGGACACGACGAGAGAACAAATTCAGAAAAGACAAGAAAGAGAGGAAGCAGAGTTAAGGCCAAGTGAAGGTCAAAGGGAAGAAGAAGGGCCTTCCTGGTGGCCTAACGGTTAAGTCTCAGAGCTATCACCCCTACACGCTGGCCAGAGCGCTGCCCACATATGGCGCAGCAGACCTCTCCTGTCTCGCCCACTGCTCCCCTCAACAATGTATTTCAGTCAATCCACCTGTTCTGCTCCCCACTTTGTCTCTGGTGAATCCTCTTACCCCCTGCATCTCTGGCCTACACTCCAGTTCTTCTAAGCCAAAATAAATAAATCTTTTTTAAAAGAAAGGGAAGAGGGGCCTCCCTGATGTCGCAAGGGGTTAAGTGTCAGCACTATGAAGCTATCCACAACTACTCCCCGGCCAGGGAGGTGACCCACATGGCACAGCAGACCTCTCCTGTCTCGCCCACTGCTCCCCTCAGCAGTGTATTTCAGTCAATCTGCCTGTTCTGCTCCCCATTCTGTCTCTGGTGAATCCTCTCACCCCCCCCCCGAACCTCTGGCCTGTACCCCAGCTCTTGTATGCATAAATAAATAAATCTTTTTTTAAAAAAAAGGAGGGAAGAAGGAAATAGGCCCAGGGGGCTTGGATGGAGGGCACCACTGGCAGCTCACCTGCTCACTTTGCAGGCCTTG